TGAGGGGGGATCTAGTGGCCTGTTACAAACTAGTCAGAGGGGGCCAGCAGGCATTGGGGGAGTCCCTGTTCCCCCGAACACTACCAGGAGTGACTAGAAATAACGGTCACAAGCTGGCAGAGGGTAAATTCAAATTAGACGTCAGGAGGCGCTACTTCACTGTCAGGATGGCTAGGATCTGGAACCAACTTCCAAACGAAGTGGTGCTGGCTCCTACCTTGGGGGTCTTTAAGACAGAGCTAGACAAACACCTTGCTAGGGTCATTTAACCCCAGTACTCTTTCCTGCCATGGCAGGGGTCGGACTTGGTGATCTGCTCAGGCCCCTTCCGACCCTACAAACTATGAAACTATGACTATTTTATTAGTTTCTCAGCTTACAGTGCCATGTTACTCTCTGCCAAACATTACCAGTTCTTTCCATCCCAGCAAGGAGGGTGGATGGCAAAATATATTTGGAGAAAAGTACTCCAGTGGTTTAGACTTTGTTACTTTGGACTGCAATTCTATGACATGCCTCAAAGGATTATGTCAGTCCAATAACTCACAGGACCTAGCATTCTACATTAAAGCTTCAGATTTCCTGTGCCACTTTGCCAACACATCAGGGACAGCCTAGAGATCACAAGATTGCAGCACTGCAATCCTATGTTCATGGTTGGTTCTACAGCTCCTTTCCCTGGTCCGTCTATTTTCTTCTTTGTCAAGCCCACATCTCTGTTTGATCCAGCTGTTATATCATTTTCCACTGGACATGGCAAACAGCTGCAGCTCCTCCCCTAGGTTATGCAGGACAGCTGTTAATGCTATGATTCCAATTCAAGCTAATGATTCTTTCCGCCAGCCCCAGCCACCCTCAACTGCTGCCCTTCACCCACCTGTCCCTGCTTCCTCATATTTCCCATCTCTTGAAATTTTGTATGTGTACATGAATGTGAAGTTGAGGCTAATATTCTAAGCAGTTGGCTATATTCTTATATTTCACTTTGCAGGTGATATCGTTGGATATCCTCCCCAGAATAGCTTATCCTTAATTGTGAGTGGGCATTACCTTTGTTGCTACATGGATATTGGATCCTTTCTCCAGGAGAAGGGTCACCATGTCAGCATGGCCCTCTTGAGAAGCCAGATGAAGTGGGGTCACTCCCTGCTTGGTCAAAATGTTGGTCTCTGCTCCATAGCTCAACAGAGTAGTGGCTATCTGCATCTGATTCTTCTTGGCAGCAATGTGGAGAGGGGTGTATCCATTCTAAAACCATGTGTTAACAGATGTTAGTAGTGTTTTCTAACATTTATAAAGGCAGAAGATAGAAAAAAGTATTCATAGAAATATCTGGAACGGTGTTGATCCCCAGACAGACACATTCTCATTCTTTGCAATACTATTTTCAGTTTAGAGAGGAAATATTTATTGAAGAAAAAGGAAATGTCCACTTTTCAAATAAGTGCACAGAAAAATATGAAGGTGCATTGAAAAGGAAAACTATGAAAGCACATTTTTTGTCAGACATTTCTGACTGTATCTGAAGAGATATTTGACACAGGGGCTAAGTACAGAGAGTCAAAAAACTTGACGCTGAATCAATTCATTTTGCAGATTAGTCTGAGCTGCATAGATTGAACTGATAAGCAAATGAACAGACATTCAGTTTTCATTCTGGAAACGCAGCCACATGCCTGCAGTGGCTCAGGCCAGGAGCCAGGGAGGGGCACTACAGCACACCTCCCTGCTTGGCTGGGGCAGCCAGTTTGGGCCAAGGCTATCCTGCCCACCCTGCAAGAGAGGTTTTTTGGGAAGGTGCAAAGGGTCCTGGGATGCTGGGGGACTGTGGGTTAACTTGAATATGAAAGAAATCTGGGACAGAAGTTCAATAAACCAATTTAAACTAAATGCATTTAAGATTGGATCCTGCCTGTGACAGTGGCCAGTACCAGATGTTTCAATGGAAGAGACAATGATTCCAAGTTATACATACATAAACCTTTCCTTAACCTCTCTTAGTACAGTTAGTTTGTCTCCTGACGTGTAAGAGTTCATATTGCTCATAGTTTTATACTCTCTTATGTAATGGTGGCTTTTATCATTATCCCTATAAATATATAATCTCTTAAGCTTCTAAAAATAACTTTTTTTAATAATCCCTCTAGGCTCTTTGCCTCAATGCTACCCTTTGGTAGTAAGCGTGCAGATAAATTAAATAATTATATCACTTGAAAAGTTACAGCAAGTTACAGCGGATTCAGTAAATCTGCAACCATTTTGTTTGTTACACTATGGACCCCTCCAAACATGCAGGTAAAGGCACAATGGGATTTGATGTGCAACCCACATGACTGCACTTCCTGCCATTCCACACAGACATAGCAGGAGGTGTGATTGTGAGGTTGAACAACAGTTCCCATCATGCCTTATTGCCAGTACAAGAGGAGCGTGGGATCAGCCTTGGAAGCACCCAGTGCATCCCTGCAGCTGGAAGCCTGATCAGATAACAGGGCTTCCCGGCTTGAAGTGCATGGTGTGCCTCCCCAGCTGCAGGTTCCAGCAGACTTGATTAATCATGTTTGCTCCAATGCGCGCTAATTAGCATGTGTCGGAGCAGGCATTGGGCATATGTATAGGTGCCCAAAGAGGTGCTCCTTCATGAACAACTGACTATCTAAAATAAAGCAGAATACACTGGCACAAGGAGAATGGTGTCCCACTACTTATCAATTAATCTTCTTTCCAAAGAACTACGACACAATTAGGGCTAGGGCACATACAATCATGACTAAATTTATATCATTGGATTTTGGAAGGGAAATGGGGAAAACATCTTGCTGTAGTGGCTTTTATTGCTGTTCTCCCATCCACACATCAGAAACCACAGTTCCTGCCCCACACTGAAAAAGGTCACTTAATCACTGGATACTTTCAGTAGAGTAGATCACAGGAACTGCACAATAGAGAATCTTTTTAAGGCAACCAAAAATTCTCATAGGTATTATTTTTTTACTCCTTTCAGAGTTTGTTTCATCTAACACAAAAATATTATATGGCCCCATATCCTGCAATAAGCTCCATAAAAGGCAGACTTCTGCACATGTATTTTCAAGGAAAGGTTTCCATTCTTATGCAACATAGAAGTCATTTTACAGATTACTTCTCATAAAACTAAAACTGGATTTGGAGACTCACATACATCAAAGAATGTAATTGCATTCACAAGACTGAGACAGGTAAAAACAGCCCCTGCTATTCAGTTACAAGGAATGTGACCTAGTAGGACGGGGGTTGTCAACCGGGGGCACCCCCCACATCCGACCACCAGGGGTATACTGATCCAAAAAGGTTGAAAACCCCTGCAGTAGGGTGATTGTTTATTGCTTTCAGAGAGTGTAGGTATGCTTTGAGTATTCAGTAATGTATTGGATTACACTGAATCCAACCTTCAAAAAGGGATGTCATCAATTAACCAAGTCCACTAAGGTGAGCTTTTTTCCCTCACATGAGTTATACACCAGTTGTAATTCCATTGACTTTAATAGATTTACCCTTGATTCACATCACTAAGAAGAGAATCAGGTTCTTTGTGTTTGGCACTTAACTGCAACGGGCAAGAAAACAGCGTCATTAAGGCTAGAATAGGATCTTTTAAGGATAGACAAGGGAGCAATAAAGTCAGGTCTCCTCAGTGACTCAGATGATCACATATGGACTTGTGATCTTGTTCACATCATGGAGCAAACTTCCATATATTTCTTAATAAATTACATTACATTTGATAACCAGGAGTCCTTAAGGTTCAGTAATAAGGTGTGGTCCCGTGGTTTGAATATGGAAGAAACTTTACATTCTGCTGAAAATTGCAAATAGTTTTCAAGAACAAGCTGAGGGACAGCGGTCAAAAGTCAAAAGCAGATACATAGCATGGGTTTGAACATAGTATCAGGAGTAAAATTCAGAGTTTGGTGGAACTTCCAAGTTCCTGAAAATGTAGATTATTGTAAAATATCAACTCCACCATGGTATTCCACCAGGGGAGTTCATTTGAAGCAAAAGGATCAGTATCTTTTCCCAAACGTTCAACACAGGGGGGTTAGATAGGCTTTTCCTTTCAAATGCTGGCTCCCTGTAAAGAACAAGGAGAGGAGGCAGCATACAGAGAAGAAGAAATAGTCTGATGCTGCTTTGTGCTGCAGTTCTATCATTTTTTTCTCCCTGCCCCTGCTGGCCACAGACTAACCGCTTATCTGATAGATTCAATAAGCAGCAGGAGTTGGTTGTAAATCCAGTCGCTGGCCAGCAGAGGACATGTCGCACGCCTGGAACTATGAGTTACAGCTTCAGCTTTTGAAAAGCTCAGCTCCTTTCCTGCCTCATTTTCTAGTCCTCAAGTTACTCCACTGCTTCTCTCCACGTAATGTTGCCAGCACTTGTCAAGGATGTGAATTCTCACCTTCGCAGTAGCGTGGGGAGAGGCACCTTTCTCCAGCAACAGCAGCGCCACCTTCTGGTTGTCATAGTGAGCAGCAACGTGGAGAGGGGTGAGGCCGTTCTGTAAAGGGCGTTTTTAAGTTATTGCATTAGGCTGTTAGCTAGGCTTAAGCTACCGTTAGGCCGCCAATATACACTACGTGTTAACTGATTAGCAGTAAATAAACCAAATGAAATTTAACTCCATTTGAATTATTTTTAGATTAGAAATTTTACTGAGACTGGAAATAAAAATTTAGCCAACAGTTAGTGGGATGTGTTTTGCTTAATGAAAAGGAGCAAGCATCTGAGGATGGAATTGATCTGGCCAGCATTTGCTTTATTACCTATTGCAAACCAAGTTCTGAATGCTCCACTTCAGTGAAGCTCTGTTACAAAAAAGGTTTGCAGCATACGAAAAAAACCAAACATATCTGGCCTCGTCCCAGTATTTCTGAATTGTGAGTTTTATGATCCAAGTTCTCTAATGGAGCAAGCACTTTCTGATTCCGAATAAAATATTTGCCTTTATAACCATGCACAAATATGCTAGTTGTAATACAAGTAAAAGAGCAAACTTTCTGAAAAGTACCTCATAGACAAGTGTATATAAACATCATCACAATGGAAATGTGGAGAACTTTTACAATCTTTTCTCCAATGCCTGATGAAGGGTGTTTGTGCCTGAAAGCGTGCAATTAAAGAATTTTTTTTGCAAAACTCTTGTTGGTCTAATAAAAGATAGCATCTCTACTACGAGTCCTGATTGCTTTTTCCTCCAGACCAATATGGCTACAACCTGGATACCTGACAGATGGAAGATATAAAATTTTAGCCGATTTTTTAAATCTTTATATTTTTCCAAGCAGGAAGCAACTGTGACCACCTGAAAACTGAGACAATGCCTCTGCCTTTGTTTCAAAGTAATTTGCATCATCACAGAAGCTCACATAGAGGTGAGAGACTCCATACCAGCTATGAACTGACTGCCCCGAGGAGTTTTCCATCTACTGACTCCTCTGTGAAATCCTATGAAATATGAACTTTCATTTCTACCCAGGAGAACTTTTACAATCTTTTCTCCAATGCCTGATGAACGGTGTTTGTGCCCAAAAGCTTGCAATTAAAGACTTTTTTTTGCAAAACTCTTGTTAGTCTAATGAAAGATATCTCTACTACGAGTCCTGGGCTGTTTTAAATAAAGTTAACTTGGTAACATGAATATAACTGCCTCATCCTTTTACATTTATTTTCCACCCAAAATCTATGGTGAAAATCCAGAATAGTGTTAGATTTTTGCATTTCAGGACCTAAATTATTACCTTCCCAGCTGAATCAGGAGAAGCACGACGCTGTAAGAGGAGCTTTGCCACATCTAGACTTCCATATTTGGCTGCCACATGCAGTGGTGTGAATCCCTTCTGAAAAGTTTTCAAGAGACAGACATGTGTTTGTGAGTCTCATTCTTAGATTATTTGCTTACTATTACTTTTTCACTACTTAGCTTTGAGTCTTCTGAGACGGGGTGGACAAAATGCTATGGGATTTTATCCAGCTCGCAGCAGGTCCCTTGGCCCTACCTGGTCCAAACACAGGGGGCAGCTCAGGCCACCAGTGGTGCATGCAGCCACCCTCACTGCCCTGGGCATGCAGCAGGGCTTGGGCAGCATGGTGGCTGGACTCAACTCCCCAGCAGCAGCAGCTACTTCTGGTTGCCACTGCCAGTGTTGCCACCTCTGGTCCTACTGCCTGGGCACCCCAAACTTTCCACCCTGGGCCCACTACCAGGGAAGCTGGACAGACTGGGCATGCAGGCAGGTTTCCAGGGAGACTGGCGTAGGCCCCCATGGGCACAACACATTTGGCTGAGCAGATAGAATGAGGCAGGCAGAGAAGAGTGTCTGGCCGCAGGACAGGCAGGCAGGGCCAAGGCCAGGATTGCAGGGCAGTGAGAGTGTGGGGCCATGCGGAGAGCAGATCGTGGTTCTGCCCCAGGCCCAGCCCTGCGCGGTCACCGCCCCATGATCCTGGACCCATCCCTGTCCCCATCGCAACCTATCCTGCTTCCAAATGCTACTCCCCACCCACCTGCAGCCCCATCTATCCACTCAGCTAAGCATGTCTTAACCCACGGGTCCTGGATCACTCCATGGAAACACATCCCGCCCAACCACTGTAGGTGGCACCCTGGACCAGTCTAGTAATCTACCACTTAAGGACCACATCCACACATATGTGGATATGCTCCTTAAGTGCCCCCTCAGGGACATTTGGTTCCCTAGGGACAACTAGCAGCGGCATACCTTGTGCTGCTGCTAGTTCTCCCCAGGGAACACCTATGCCAAGTGCCCTCTGGTTTGCAGCAAGTTACCCTGGATGGGATAGTGGAGGCTAGGGCCAATGGGGTTGGCCCCAGCAGCCTTACCTGGGGCCCTGGGGGCTTCCCGGGGCTGCACCAGCAGGTAATCCTGCCGCATGGAGCCTGGCTGGCAGCTGGCTCCAGTTTTCAGCAGTGCACACTGCCCCCACATGCACCACTCCACTTTTTTTTCCTCTGGGTTGTTTTGACCTCTGGATATCTAGGGGTCAACACCCCTTGCCCCCCACACACACACTGCTCCCTTGCAGCATGGAGAACAACTGAACATGCGGTATGAGATGCCGCAGATGTGTCTGCTGTGCCTCGTTCTACATGGCCATGCTCATCTGGACACGGCCAAAGAATTTTGGTGAGCTGTGGTGGGCTGAGGGGGTGCTGACCTGGTCTCACACAGCAGGAGGATGGGGGGGACACAGGTGCTGACCCAGGCTGCAACAGCTCACCAAAACTCCCTAAGTGGCCCTCCAGCCCAAGTAATCGCCCACCCCTGTTATAACCACCAGTCACTTTTCTTCATGTTAACACATGATAACAGGACTAATCAACTCTGACATATGCTTCCCCATGTCCATGGGGGCAAGCAGTCAATATTTTACCCAGTATGAAGTCTCCATCAGCAATATGAATTATGTGGACAGCAAGACTCCAATTCAATTTGTGCTCAAAAATCAGCTTTTAACCAGATGCATTTTTATTTAGTTTTATGGTGACAAATTTTTAATCATTTATCCACTACACTGATCTGTTCCTGGCTGTGTTCAGCCCAACCTCTGCATTGTGGGCATGTGAGCATATGTGCATAGACTGACAATGCATGGTCAGCTATCTGCT